TGTCCTTTGTTAGGAACATGGGAAGCACGCTGGACCCCTCCTCCTCACTCGCCTGCATTCCAATCCACCTCCACACTGTGCACATGGGCCCCTTCAGCATCTCGTGGGCCAGGCCCTCCTCACCAGGCCCAGGCCTCTTTCAAGGGCTCCCCTGCCTCCACCTGCCTCTGGCCTGGGCCACTCCCACCAGCACCATGCCTCTGTATGTCCATATTCCCTCTCATTGCTACTACAGACTCTAAGATGGCATGGATCCTACATTATCCTCATCCTAAACCTGCCTTCCTCAATGGCCTGAGCTGAGGCCAAAGTAGTAGCTACCTTCCTGCTTCCTCTCAATTCCAAAAAGGTAAAACTCAAAAATGTGTTGTGTGCCTGTTCCTGGCAGAATGTGATATCTCCACTGGAATTGCCAGCTGGGGTCTCCCACACACTGTGACTAGCCCGTGGGTCAAGGATGTAGTCTGCCAGGGCAGCACCCACACAGGGCTCTGATCTGGAACAGCACACTCGAGCTTCAGCAAGTTTATGGTTTACATGTCTACTGTTTCTTACCCACTCCCCAGGCTTCAACCCCTGAACTTTTCCATGACTGATTTCTCCGAGCATGTTACACCTTCCCATTGCAACACTCCACTCACGGGGTTTTCTCCCCAAGCTTCAGTAACACCTAATCGACCGTATTTACCAGACTCCACTGCCTTGACACACTTTACACACTGCTACCCCTACCTCTGAGGTCATGAGAGATCTCTTGACCACCTTCCCCAGTGATAGGCACCTCCAGGGCCCAACCAAGACTGGTGGATGCCACTCAAACAGAGGTTAGTTACGGATTTGTTTCACATTTACTAGGAGAGGTTGTGGCTAGCACTAGTTAGGAGCATACATGGGCCTGTGAGCTTCTGTGTGGGTGTGTTTACATGCATATGTGTGTCTGTGCATGTGCACATGTGTGTGCTAAACTTGCAATTGCAGGCTCTGCATCTTCCAACAGCAGGACCAAACTGCCACCACTACTCCCCTACAAGTTGTCTCTCCAACTCTGATCACCCTGGCCAGCCTTCTGCAGAAGATGAACATCCCCTTCCTTGTGGGGAAGCAGTCAATCTAGTTTGATAAGCCAAGTCCTCCAGAACAGATCCTGTTTGTCAACCTCAAATAACTATTCACTTCCCACATCCTTTCTCAAGTTGAAGAACATGGTATTGAGAGGCCCTAAATGCCAGCACATGTGGAGTCAAGGCCTCCCGCTGAGGGACAAGACTAGGAGTGACTGCTGCTCAGAAGTGTCTGTGTCCTACCGGGAGCAACACAGTCATCAGCAGCACTCCTGGCTCCCCCACCTCCTATGGAAACCAACAGGAGTGTGCAGCAGGCCAGGAGCTATGGGGTCTTTGAACACTCTGGCACATGGTAGACCTGCACTCCCAGAAAAAGCCCTGCTCCCACTTCCGCTCAAGCCCTGCAGATCTGTCTGCTGCTGCCTGAGGCCCCTGAAAGAATCCCACATCCAGGAGATTTCTTATACCATCAATTAACTGGACTTGGGTCCTGTATTTCAACTTCGAAGAAAGAGAAAAATCCAAGTAACAACACAAGCTTACCCCAGAACCAGCCCACCACAGCTCTCAAGAGGTGTGCACAGTCAGCGAATACCCCTTGCCATCTGCACAACAAGTACCTAATGGTCACGTGACAGCCTGAATGCTGTTGCTAAAATACCGCCAAGGTGCTTAGGACCAAACACAGAATCCTATCATCAGATTTTACCCTCTGAAGGAAAAAAAAGTATCTTAAAGCTCTTCAGTAAGTAAAGCATGTGAGGGTTACTTGCTTAAAGACCCAGCAAACCAGAACAGCCTTTCTAAAGCGTGCTTGCACCTCCGCCCAGCAATTTGCAGCCTGTGGGTCCCTGGTCTGTGGGCTTCCCCAGATACCTCCAATCTCTTTTCCACAGGCAGCCAGAGTGAATGTGTAAAGACAAGAATCTGAGCACATTGTCTCCCAGCCTCACGTCCATCAGTGGTTTCGCATGCCTTTAAGACTGGACCCCAAGTTCTTCCTATGATTCAACAGTGCCCCAAGCCCAAGCCATGCCTGCCTTCCTGCAGGGCCATCGCTCATCCCTGACTTGTCACGCTGCACCTCTTGTGGCCCCTCTGTGGTGCTTCAATTCCAGGCCAGCAGTCCTGTTGCATGCTCCATGTGCCCAGCCTTAACCTGGGATCTGCTCAACCCACTAGATGTGGCTAACATGACACCTGGTCCAGGAAGCCTCCTCAGACCCCTAGACCGGGATGGGTTCTCCTAGCACCCTGTATTAGTCCATTTTGTGTTGCTATAACAGAATACCTTTTTTTTTTCCTTTTTGTCTTTTTTACTGACCAGTAATGGGATCGCAACCCTCAGTGTCGTGCCCGTACCGGGGACCGGCAATGGGATCGCAACCCTCGGTGTTGCGCCCGCACCGCGCTCAGCCAGTGAGCGGGAACCAGTCTCCACATGGGATCCGAACCCTCGGCGGGAGCGCCGCCACACTCCCAAGCGGCGCACTCTCCAGTGCGCCACTGGGCCGGCCCACAGAATACCTTAAACTGGGTAATCTATAAAGAAAATGAAATTAATTGCTCACAGTTTCTGAGGCTGGGAAGCCCAAAGTCCATCTGTTGGTGGCAAAAGTGACCCCGGGGTTTCACACTGCAAGATGGTGGAAGAGGAGAGAACAGAGAGAAAGACAGACTCTCCTCTTTTAAAGCCCTCAGAACCACAACACTGACCACCATTTTTAATCCATTCACTACTGCACGGTCCTACAATCCAATCATTTCTTCAAGGCTCCACCTTTCAATTACTATAATAGGATTTCCCACCCTCTTAACAGTCACAGTGGGGGCTAAGTTTCTAATACATAAAACTTAGGGGACACAATTTAAGCTTCGATGAGTTTTGGTGGGACATAATTCAATCCACTACACACCCTATGATTCCCCTGGATAATGTGAATGGTGATTACTTTAAACTTCTTAATTACTTGTCTATAGTCTGTCTTCCCTGCTACAACCACAAGCTCCAAAAGGGCAGGAATTAGACTGTCATTGTTCACCTGCGTCCCCAGCACAGCAGAGGACCAGAAGATGCTCAGTCACACTTGCTGAAGTAAACTGAAACCATATCCACACCCCAGTGCTCAGAGCAAGGCTCACACCACAGAGGGAGCTCTGCAAAGGTCCGTGTGAGTGACAGCACTTCAGCCACAGAAGGCAGGCAGTTGGTGCACCAAGCCAAGTTAAACAGACGTGAGGCTTTACCGTATAAAGAAAGATGAACTTGGACTATAACAATGAACTTCACCAAGCCTGGGAAACAAGATCTAAAAGGACTACAAATCCACCATTTGCAATTCAAGGCCAAAAAATAAAAAACGTCCACTTAATAGAATAATCAACTGCCAGAAATAAATGATACATTTTATACAGATGTTCCAAAGTGCCACTGTACATGCACTCAGTGCCTGGGTGTATTCTTATGTGTGCATGCATGTGTGGCATGCACACATGTGTGCATATGGGAGGAGGTTGCAGGAAGGCAAGCAGAATCTCTTTGAACTCATCTGAAGACACCACTTGTAGAACACAAGTTCCATTTTCTACAGTTTTTCTTTCTCCTGGACAATTAACATCATGGTCATGTCCCTTCATCCCATCTTGCTGATAATCAGGCAAATGCATTAAGAGTCACTTGGGTCTTACGACCTAAGTTGGTGGTAAGTAGTTAAGACAAACTTATTTACCACATTAATTAACTGGTCTATTTAACATGGAATATCAATTCTCTAATCACATCTCAGCTGAACTTCTGCTTTCAATTAACAGCTCTGAAGTCTACTGACAGAGGCCCTACTGTTCTAGGATCATTAAGAACATTTTCATTATCTGTCAAATGAGGGAGTAAGCAGCAGAAGAGCGCGCACTCTCAGGGGCGGCCTCTCCCTGCTTAAAAGGTGATCAGGGAGTGAGTGGCGGCAGTTCTCATCAGTTGCTTAGCAATGAAACGACCTCCCATGAAATCGTAACTGGAAACAAAGTGTTAGAGGGTTGCAGTAAAATCAACTACGTGGATATGTGGTCATCCTCAGAGGATAACCTGTCCTCGAGTAAACCTAATCTCTCCAGATTATTGCAGTTATGGGAATCTGAAGAAGACTAGAAACCAAAATGGCTAAAAACACAATTTAATAAAAACAAGCAAACACTAAACCAGGAAGGTTCACATGAAGACAAATTAAAATTGGATTTAAATTAAAATGATACGACTAAAGAGTAAATGCCATCTTTTGTATTTATTCTTTACTCACAAATGAATTCAAAAGTAGATCCCTCGCTTACCAGAATTTTTTAAAAACTTAAAACATGTTCAAAACAGGTAAGGTTACATGACAGCTGGCTGTTGTGTAGAAAGAGAAGCAGCACGCCAACCTAAAGCTCTGCTAAAACAGTTATTTTGCATCTGACTAATATTCACATAAAACAAAGTATAACTAGTATATCCAAAGTAGGATACTGATAAATTGCCACAGAAACACAATTAAAGAAGATCTGGTTTTTAGCTTGTAAGCAAAACATGCAACTAATATTTTATCTCCTTAGCCTTATCCACTTAAATCCAAACCATTAAAGCCGGTGCTCTGATGGCCATTAGAAATAAATCACACGCCCCAAATATATTAAATTTCTCTCCATATATTATTAAAAAGAAAATATTAATAATTATAACTACATCTTAAAGTCTTCCATAGTTGAGCATTTGGATTGAAAGACATTTTTAAAAGTTGGCATCAATGAGAAAATTATTATTCGCTATTATCATTACTTGTTATCAATAAAATTAAACTTAATAGCAATTTTCAGTATTGGTATAATTACAGATTGTACCACCCCCCAGCCCACTAAAGGTCATGTTGATGTTTGTGGGGAGAATTACCATGATAATGAACTTACCTATATATTCACAAATGAAGACCACAAAGAACGGAGTGACGAGGTCGTTTATCCCCTGAACATACCCACTGGCAGGGTGACGAATCGCCCATATAAACAAGATTCTTTCAAAAATCTGAAAGGAAACAGAGCAGGTGGTGAAGCGAAAAGTGAGCATGGCGGAAACTCAAATGCATACACTCTTTTCCTTAAATATGTGCCATCGATATTTTGTCATGTCTCCAGTATTAAAACACAAATATAAACAGATATCAATTCTGTTTAATTTCTTGATAAAGTTCCAATTATCTTAACTGTTCTTGACTCACAAGTCATGGGCAGTGTGTCTCCAACCCTGGGCCCAGCCCTTCCCCACGACCTGCCCTAACAACAGACACTCTGCTCCTGCAGGCGGCAGATCACCACAGCACCCACTGCCCAGGGCACTGCTGCAGCACCTGGCATATCCTGAACACTTGCTCAGTGAGGGAGGGAGGGAAGGATGGATGGTCAGACAGGTGGACAGGTGAAAAGGTCCATGGACGGATGCTCTGAATTTCCCTCATAAGGTAAATTAATTTCTTCAAACCCTGGAAAGCTATCATCATCTAAGAAGACACACGAAAGCACCTTCCCGTCACAGACAAACCCCACCAGGCTGGCACCCTGTGAGGTACCCGCGGGAGCCCACTCAGCCTCCCTCTTTCACACCGCCCTCACGTTCCACTGATCCTCCTCTTCACAACCCTCACCCCACTACCCTCCTCCATCTTTGTTTATGAAAGGACTTTGCTGGGGTGCACCACAATCCCATCACCCCAGGCCACACACGTGCACATGTGCACACACATGGCTGAAAGCCTGCACATGCTCCACACCTCCCACCCCTCCGGCCTACAGGCTACAGGGCAGCAGCCTCCCGTGGCCTGGCTCATGCTCCTGCCCATGCCAGCACCTGCTCCAGCCACACTGAGCCACCACACCCTTCTCTGAGCCTGCAGGCTACTACTGCCTCTTACGCTTCCCTCTGTCCAGAAAGCCCTCCCTGCTATACACTGAGCCTCGACTTCCCCAGCCTTCGAGAGTCAGTTGAAGCACTACTCCCTCAGGGAAGACTCTGCTCTGTCTGCTCCTCCCACCCTCTTTCTGGAAGAGCCAACCACCCCCTAACATGGTGACCCTCTAGGTTCCTCCAGCCCCCGCATCCCTCGCTGCTGGCTCCAGCCCGCATCCCAAGTTCCATGCTGGCCGCGGCCAGTCTGACAGCTCTGTCCAGGCCTCACACGAATACAGTGCAGGGTGAAGACAGGACAGCGAATGCTCCAACAGATGAATGAGTTACGTCACTTCCGAGCAACCTGAGCCTTGCAGAGCTAACTGTATTTGTACCTGGGGAAATCAATTCCTTCCCCCAAATCACCATCAACTCTGGAATTTACAAAGGAGGGGCCTAGGGCCCAGAAAGGTGAAGTCTCTTAATGCAGGGCACACAGTCCACTAGTGGCAAAACCAGCTGTCAATCCAGTCCCTCCAATACCCACATTGGTACACGAGCCACTGTGGTTGTTCAAATGAGCAACAAAGTGACCACCACCTGCAACGCAGCGGCCACCAAGTAACTGCTGAATGAGTAACACACTCACACACATGTACTGACACACATTTTCCATTTTAAGTCAACAGCTTTCTAGATACAACTGAATATTTAAACAAGGTCAAAGACCAAAATCACTTGACAATGCAGCACCATTTAAGTATTTCTCAACAGCTGATGCACATGCTCCAGTGTCAATAAAGATGTTATCAGCGGCCAGATGAGCAGCCCTGTGGGTGGCCCCAGAGAGACAGACAAGGAGGCAGGGCAGTGGTAGGAAGGGCCCCTCGGACCGCAGCACCCTAGCCAGGAGTCACTAATGCAGCAGCCACTGCCCTGCTCAGCCACCAGGACACAGAGAAGGCCCTGCCGACACTGTGGGACCATAAACAGCACTCCTCACAGTAAGGCAGGCCTGTGACAGGCTGCAGGACGGGCAGGAGAGTCAACGCAGGCACAGGGCACCGTGAGCTCCGATGGCCCCCATGGCCCACGCCAACAGACACTGTGGGACCATAAACAGCACTCCTCACAGTAAGGCAGGCCTGTGACAGGCTGCAGGACGGGCGGGAGAGTCAACGCAGGCACAGGGCACCGTGAGCTCCGATGGCCCCCATGGCCCACGCCAACAAGCCTGTTAAAAGGGAGAGGACTGGACATGAACACGTGCGCAGACAACAGCATGAACACGCACATAGGCACAGGCCAGTGAAACAGCTCTGGGTTTGTGTGGGAAACCACACATGACTGGAAATCAGAATGACCAGGCTTTTCATGATGACATGGCTCCCTGGGTGGAGAACTGTTTATATTTCTCCCTGAGAAGACCTTCCTATGAACAGGCTAAAGTCTAGGATTTGGGGTGGAGAGAAGCTGCCAAATGAAAACCGAGGAGAAGCATCCACATCCGGCCCAGGAGCACCAAGTCTGTCTTACCGAGGAGGAGGAGGAAGGCAAGAGCGTTTGACCACCCTGGGGACTGTGCGCCTGCAAGCTGTCTCCAGGCCCACCCCAACACCCAGCACCTGGCTTGGCAGTTCTGACTGCATGCCAACCTCCACACCAACTAACTCACATCCACTAATCACTAGAGACTCGCATCCCCTGCCCACTGGTGTTTATTCTGGACAGGCACTCCTAGTCCTTCATGTAATACAGATCGAAGGAAGTCGCACTTACAGCCATTCAACTTCGGGCTTATAATTTCCCTATAACAACAGCTATTAATTAAGAACACAAGAGAAACTTCTATAATTTATACTTCTTTGGGTGGGAGAGGGGAAGAAAAGGCAAGTGACTGCTTGATTTCCTTCTCCTCCCTTCCTCCTGCCACTGCCACAGTGGGGTACACCAAGAAGCCACAGTTGGTGCCACCTCAAGTCAGCCACAGCAAGTCCCAGGCCACCTGCACTTCCTTCCACGTGGCCAATTCACCCTAGAGACAGAACCTTTCACCACCCACTGCAGAGTGCACAAGAGGAACCATCTGTCGAAGACGTTACCAACAGATCAGCCTTGTCTAGACTCCAGGGAGGAAAATTCCCAGTGACTGCAGAAATGCCACCCTAGAGACAGAACCTTTCACCACCCACTGCAGAGTGCACAAGAGGAACCATCTGTCGAAGACATTACCAACAGATCAGCCTTGTCTAGACTCCAGGGAGGAAAATTCCCAGTGACTGCAGAAATGTAGACCAGACTTCCACAAACACAGAATGCCAGGGACCCTGGGAAATCATGAGCCCAGCAGGATGGAGAGGGGCCACTGGTTCCTGACTTGTCCAGGGCTGAGGAACGGTCCACAGGACAGCAGCAGGTCAGCAAAAGCCCAGCACTCATCCGAGGGGCCTCAAGGACCTCGGCAAGCAGACCACACATGCCAACCTCTGCCTGTGCACCCACTCCCTGCCCTTGAGCCAGGGTGGGCCCCTCATCCCACCCAGTCCCAGCCCTCTTTCCATGGCTGCCCCAGGATCTGACATAGACCCAATTTAATCAGCTGTTTCATTCACTCATTCATTGAAGGCTCTGAGCAGAAAGGCAACAGTCACAGACCAAGAGATCGCCCAGTGTGGACAAGCGTGAAGCTGATGGACAGGGCGGCTGCCTCAGTCAGAACCGCAGGAGGAGTCTTAGGGCCCAGGGCTTCCTTTTCCTTGTTGAGTTTTTTCATTGTGATTTATTTGTTTATCTTTTTGTCTGAACTCACTTCATATAAGTTACACTTTTCTCTAGTTTTAAAGTTGCAAAAACTAATTCTGATCCCAAAGTCATTTAGTACTCTTTTAAGAACTCCCTTCCCAAATCATCTGAAATTATACTGTGGGGCCTAAGGGTCCCCAACCTCCCTCTGAAAGCCCCCGTCTTCATGACCCTCAGCTCGTTTCATAACAAGGTCTTCCAAGACTTGAGGTAAAATGTTTTCTCATCTTATATCATATCACGCAAATCAGGAAAGCACTCATGGTGTGAGAGCATTCGAACGGTATCCCTGCAGACTATCCTAAAATTGTCTTGCCATGTGATTTTCATCATAATGAGCTCTCCACAGATCAGACACCAGTGAGAGCCTGTTCTAAGAAAAAGAGGTCTCATTCCCAACGCAGAGGGTCATGTGCCGTAGGACATCTAAGCCAAGCATCGAATAATTGTACAGTTATTTTTCAAAGTATGCACTGAGCCATTTCTAAGCTTTTGCTCTCGGATTGGTGGGAAAAAAAAAAATTACAAATGACTAATTCCATATCACTTTTTCCAAATAAACATTTTCAAAGTTTAACAATGCATCTCCTGAAAGGGGTACACATCAAGCATATTGCTCACTCCCTGGACGCACATCTGCTGACATGCATGACACTCAACAGACAGCGCCTCCAGGAAGCTCCAGGTGAGCAGCCGTTTGCACCTCCCACTTTGCCTGAGCTTCCACCAGCCTTCCACCCCCATCAGCGACTCAGTGCCTCTGCTGCTACCCTAGACAGTTCCAACTTTTAAAAACAGAAATCAGATAAGCATCTTTTAAAGGAAATTAGCTTCCTCATTCCTCCACTGAGGTTATCTCACGACGATGGTCCAGCCAAAAGGAAAGCAGCTCATGTGGGCTTCCTCTTTTTGCACTACTCAGGAATGCATGCAGAGCACAGGTGGTTTTGGTCCACTGAGACACCTCTCAGTCTCCTACACCCCCATGACACAGCCCAAGTCCTCAGAACTCACTCAGGATACTGCTGGCCCCTCCAGACTCAGCCCACAGGAAAGCCAGAGGACAGAGCTAGTCGGAAGTCCACCAAAGCAAAGCAGGAGTAGCCAATGGGTCACCAAAATCAAGGGTCAAAAGCCATAGGGACAAAACCAAGAATTCCAGGAGAGAGGCCTGGCGAGCCCAAGCAGCCAGCAGCCCAAGCACAGCGGAGAGTTCTGGTACAAGCTCCTAGAAAAGGCCCTGCTCCCCCTGGGGCTGGCCCAGGCTGCTGTCCAGGGCAGGGAGGGCACACAGGCAGGCAGGCTGGCTCAACAGCAGGGAGAGTGCCCAGTCCAGAGCG